CCAGCATCTTCCCTGTACATCCTCCTTCTCCCCCCTATTACCAATTCCATCCCTCCAAGACTTCGCGCCCAAATTCTTCGTCTCTCCCAAAGTTACGGCAGCCACTTCATCCCTCTAGGGATGACATCTCGTTGCTCTCCCAGTTCTAGGGAAGGAAGCTCGTCCGTTTACCTGGATCCCCTGAATCTTCTAGCACCACCTCTCTAACAGATTCCTCTACCCATTTCCCCTTCCCCGTGCGTCCCATCATACCCCATAGCCACCCTGGTGTCCACTAAGCTCCATCCCTAAGCGACTCCACTATCTTGAGGTGGAAATTGGAAATTAGGGTTGCCCACTACAACAACACCAAACCAGCCTCCGGTCAGCGATCTCTCCTTTCACCTTCATCAGTGATGACTCGAGTGAATCCCATACAGGAGTTCAGAAGACTGCTGCTCATCCAGATGCAGTGTTCTCATCCATCCACCTCGGGGTCATTTCACCTCTCTCTTCGTCGTCCTCATCATTCACAATACGAGGAGAACCTTGAAAAGATCGATTCCTTGCACTTGTGCCCCGGCATATGTAACTCTCATCACATCTGAGCGAGCAACCCGTTTGCTTCTTTTTCCTGCATCTCTTTGTGTCGGTCAGTCTTTTGAATCTGTCCCCCATTTCTCCTCCACCGACTTTCTCCTTGCCACCTCCTCTGTTTCCCTGCGGCTTCCCCTTTTGAGCGGTAAAATTACAAAGCATTAGTATTTTGTATGATCCTCCTGAGTAGTTGGCTCGCACCTCTTTCTGAATCTTCTTCTGATCTCGTATCCGATCAGTTGTGGCAAAGCTCCATGGCTTGCCCAAGTTCCTGCCGTCCAGCACTCTTTTCTTTGACACTGTTCTTATCTCCGGTTTTAAGCGCCCTCATGACATTCCCTCTCCAGGGCCGATTCAGAGATGTGATCCAGACGGCTAGCCAAGTACTCGAAATCTGTCCCGTAAGTCAGCCACGGTCCCCCCTTGAGTCCAGAGACAAAGAATTGTCATAGAAGTCTCCTCGCCCATCGGCTCGGAAGACGTATCTAATAAACAATCCTTGAACTCTCTCCAGTCCCTGATAGCTCTCTCATTTTGCCATGATACCACCGCCAAACGCCTTCCCTCTCCGACCACAATCCTGCCGCCTGTCAGCTTCTCATATCTGTCACCCGTTGACAGCAAATAACGCGTCCACCTTGTAGATCCAACCATGGCCATCTTCCCCCTCGAGATGGGCATCTCAACCTTTCTCACCTCGGATGCCCTTCCGTTACCCGGAATCTCCTTAACCTCCCCATTCCCGAAGATGAGGAAACTCCCAAGTGTCGCCGATCCTCCCTCCACGGTGGTAAGACGAATTCTCATCATAATCTCCTCTTGCCCCTTTCAAATCAGCACCTCGACACTGAAACTCAGCACCTCGACGCTGATATTCTGTGCGTTCTCCTCTCTCCCAAAATCCTGCCTACCTTCATATTCCCCCCATCTCCCTGCCTCAAAATCAACACCGACGCTGAAATCAGCACCTCCGCTGCAAAATCAAGGCACCTCTGGCGTCAATTCCCCATGCTCATCTCCTCTCTAGAGAGTGGCGCCTCTAGAGGTGGCATGTCGTTCATGCACCTTCAAGACATCTCAAACTCCGGATTCCTGCCCTCCGCGGATATGGGAGGTATCGGACTTTCCTCCCTACGCCATGGACAGCAGTGGTCTCTCTCACTTCCGATGATGTGTCGTGGATGGGTTTATCATCTCCACATAATTCTTCAATCATTTCTATCATCGCCAAGCGAACCTCCCTTCCAAACCTCTCATTTTGGTAAGATCGTCCAAGAACTTTCCCCTTCCAGGATCGTCTTTCCAGTTGACCAAACTCGCCTTTTGTAAAACTTCCACCATATCTTCTCGGCCATCTTTCTTTTAACGGATCCACAAAAACTTTTTCCGGAGACGGACGATTTGCTGAAATTTCAGAATTTCAGCGGCTCGGCAAGTCCCGGACAATCGGCGCCTCTGAGATACCATTTGAATAGAAACACTTGCGATTTCCAAGTGTTTACACCCAATAACCAAGTAAGACTCTCGGATGAAAATTGCTGTCCACACAGGGGGAAAACAGCCAAAAAAACATGGATCGGAGAGAAACGAGGAGAAAGTAAGAGAAACAAAGCAATACATATTATATCTTAATCAAGAGATGAAAAGCACTGAGCAAGATTACAACCTTTCCTTCGATTCGAGAGGAAGGAAAAACTCTCACAATCTCTAGCCGTACCTTGAGACCAAGAACTAAATACCCTAATCTCCAAAAATGATCAAATCCAAGATGATCTCAAATCCCTCCCAAAAACACCAATAAAGACAAAGGATTAATACAAAATGCCTAAAACAACCCCTTCATTCAAATATTTTCCCTTCCTTAACCTTGAATTAACCTTCAAGTGGCCCACCCCTATCCCCCCCCCCCCTTCTCTGTCTTCCGCCTCCGTAGCGATGACGGTCCAGGGTGACCGGGTGGACCGGTCCAGCCGGCCCAGGATGGGCCGGCGTAACACAAAACTCTTCTCTACATCATCACATAGCTGGCCATCACAAAGCCAACAACTTTCACCTCTCACCCCAAGCGAATCAGCAAAAGCTTAAGGAAACTCATGACTGTCCTTCTAAATCCATCTTCTTGCTTTAGTTCTTGAATTTGCAATGAAATGCAAAATGATCCATCAAAAAATATATATTATTTTTACCTCGCATATTATAATACAGTTCTCTTTTTGAATATCAATAATCCCCCATTCCTTCAAATTTTTGCAGTGCCCTGACGAGTTTGTGGTGGGATATGGCCTGGACCTTGCCGAGCTTTACAGGAACCTGACGTACATTGGTGTTCTGAAACCTGAGAAGTACAATTAAGGTAATTACATTCATTTGCATTGATGTAATTATCTGGAATGCCCCTATGAAAGAAATTTATCTTCTTTTTCTGAATAGTAATTCTGTCATCAACTGATTCTTATGATACTATTGGTAGACTTGGCGCTCCTGTGAATGAGTTCTAATGTACTCTCTGGGCAATGATTCAAAACCGGCTCCTTAGTCATATAGATTTGAGCTGCGTGCTTAAAAATTATGTGAAATGTCTGGTGAAACTCTTGAAATGAAATTGGGATATACTAGAAGATGATGCATCTGAGTGTCAACTGTATTATTATTTCATTTGCATTGCAAGTTGACTGCACCACTTTTTTGCTAATTTTTTTGCTTGCAGAGTGTTATGATCATTATACACTAGAGGAAAAAAAAAGGATCTCACTTTTCTTTCTTGGGATTATGTTTGACATTGTTGTTAAACAAAAATAATTGAAAATTTTGTGAACATCTTTATTTAAAGTGTGTACGAATAATGATTGTTTGATAAAATACTTTAATCTGCAATTTATTAAAGTAGATTCTGACGTTCCTTCTTAACATTACGAATATGACATGACAATTATATTTGCTCTTAATCATTCTCCTATAAAAGTCATTTTCGTTTAAAATTTTTTTTAGCGTTCTTTTATGTATACAACTGATATGGTATGACTGTTGTAAATTGGTTTTTTTAATTAATGTGCTTGAGAAAAGCTCCTTTGGCGATTCTATTATGTTTACTTTTTATTAAGAGGTTGTTTGGTTGCCTGAAGAGAAAATGCAGTGTAAAGTAAATGTAATGTAAAATAAATGTAATGCATTGCAAATACTTTGAGACTGTTTGGTTGTCTGTAAAATAAACACAGGATAATTGTTTCCCTTGTCTGGTTAGGTAGATCCAGAGTAAAGTAAAAGAGTTTTTTTATAATAATTTATTTTGGCATTACAACTAGTGTATTTATAAAAAAAGTGTATTTATAATAATTAGTATTATTTGGTGTTATAAAATAAAATCAGTGTATTTTTTTATTACACGATTTGATTATAATTTTTTTTTATTATAAGATATAAAATTTTACTGTGTATTAATTTAACAGTGTGTTGAAATAGACGAAAATATACTTATGATAGAGAAATTTTAATTTTAAATTATTTGAAAATTTAAATTTTTTTATTTTATAAGTAATGTTTTTACAAAAAAAAAATTCAAAAAATTAACTTGATAATTGGCATATGATAAGGCCATCCCATTTCCTAATTGCAATATTTCTTTTAATTTATTTTCGAGCTATTTGTTTTAAAAAATTTTGACAATAAAAAGCACTTCGAATGAGTAAGAGGCAGGAAAAACCTAATATCCTAATATTTTACAACAACAATATCAAGCTTTTATCCCACTACGTGGGGTCGGCTACATAAATCCTTTTTCTTTATTGTGTTCTATTAAAGGTCAAATTCTTGTTTAAATCTAATAAAGAAAGGTCATTCATAATATTTTCTAACTAGGTCTTTTTAGGTCTGCCTCTACCTTTCTTAACATAAGTCAAATCTGATATCTCTACTCTCCTAACCGGGTCATTGGAAGGCCGCTGTTTTATGTGACCAAACCATATAAGGCGACTCTCTCTAATCTTATCTTCTATTAGAGCTACTCCAACCTTTTCACATATATGCTCATTTCGTATCCTATTTCTAAGGGTAAAGTCACTCATCCACCTTAGCATCCTCATCTCTGCCACACTTAACTTTATATTATGCTTTTCTTTTAATGGCCAACATTCAGCTCCATAAAATATTGCAGGCCTCACTACCATCTTATAGAATTTTCCTTTAAGTTTGAGGGGTATTTTTATATCACACAATAAGCCCGATGCATTCCTCCATTTCAACCATCCAACTTGAATTCTGCTGATAATATCCCCATCTATTTCACCATCACTCTGAACAATAGATCCAAGATGTCTAAAACGTGTACTCTTATTAATGACTTGATTGCCCAAAGTAACAATCCCCTCACTAGGTCTATTACTACTAAAATTACGTTCCATATATTCCGTTTTAGATCTACTCAAGCGAAAACCTTTAGTCTCTAATGTTGACCTCCATAATTCAATTTTACTTTCAACTCCCTCTCTAGTCTTATCAACAAGAAGAATATCACCAGCAAAAGGCAAACACCAAGGTACATCCTCTTGCAAATGTCTGGTGAGAACATCCATGACTAAAGCAAAAAGATATGGGCTTGAGGCTGATCCTTGATGTAACCGAATCGAAATAGGGAAATACTTGGTCAAACCGCCTTATGTTTGAACACAAGTAATCGCTCCTGCATACATATCTTTAATGATTTGAATATAAGCATTATTAACTCCTTTCTTTTCAAGAACTCTCCATAGCGCTTATCTTGGAACTTTATCATATGCTTTTTCTAAATCATTAAATATCATATGTAGATCCTCCTTATTTTCTCTATATTTCTCCATCAAACTCTTAATAAATGTATGACACCCATAGTCGACCTACCCGGCATGAATCCAAATTGATTTTGAGAAACATTAGTATTACGCTGCAACCTATGCTCCATAACTCACTCCCATAGTTTTAAAGTATGACACATTAACTTAATTCCTCTATAATTCGCACAATCTTGTGCATCACATTTATTCTTAAAAATAGGAATTAACACACTCATTCTCCACTCATCTGACATCTTTTTATTCTTCAAAATAGTATTAAAAAGTTTAGTAAGCCAAGAAATACATTCATCTCCTAAGCATTTCCACACCTCTATTGGAATATCATCAGGTCCAACAGCTTTTCCACCCTTCATTGTTTTTAAAGCCTCTCTAACTTCGATTTTACTAATACGTCGATAAAAACAGAAATCTTTATTTTCATTTAGGGTCCTAAGGTCGCTATAGTCAATCTTATTTTCACAATTTTCATTAAAAAGTTTAGCAAAATATCTCATCCACCTTTGTTGAATATCATCTTCTAAGAAAAGTATTTTTTGATCTTCATCCTTAATACACTTCACTTTAACTAAATCTTTACTACTTTTATCTCTTTGTTTGGCTAACTTATACATATATCTTTCTCCCTCCTTAGTATCTAATATATTATATAAATCACTAAAAGCTAAGGTCTTTGCATCGCATATTGCTTTCTTGAATTCCTTACGAGCCTCTTTATATCTTTCCCAATTATCAGAATTTTTAAATTTAAACCAATTTTTATAACAAATCTCTTTTTTCTTAATCCTTTCTTGCACATTTAATATCCTAATATTCTTAACAAAGAAAAAGATAAGAGAGAAAACTTAAGAGAAATCATAAATGTCCACTCCTGATTTAAAAAGAAAAACATAAATTCATAATGATAAGCAACCTTCAAACAAATGCATAACAGATTAATGCAACATATACAAGAAAAACATTAGTTACAATTACATGCTTTCCTTTTGGAACAAAATCTTATGTTATTCACAGATGAATTCATTTTCCCCTAATCAAATTCTTTTTGAATGGAATAGTAATGGAAAATGCCATTGATCATACAAATCTAATTAGAAATGTAAAGAAGATAATGCACTTTATAATGTAAACTTTATTTCAAGGGAAAGGTGCTGGCCATTGTCACCAAAAGATTTTATTCTAAACTTCAAATGGAAAAAAAAAAACTTTCCACCTAAAGGAATGATGGACTTGTATCGAATTATATGTGAAAATTAATATAAGATGTGTTGTCATACAACAAAGTGGAACAGCTATTCTATTGGAAAATACTTCTGAGACCAAAACAACGAAATCATTCAAATAATAGTTCAACTTGTCAATTTCAGGGAAGGATGGGGGAACATAGTTTCCATACATATGCTCTAGTCCTTTCAAGTATATAACAGGAAAGTGAGCTTCAAAAAATTATCAAGATGGACCTCTTTGAGCTTAGTATATTTTACCAGTAAAAGCCCACAATAATAATTTCAATGAAAAATTTCAAGGCCTATATTTCTAAACAAATTAAAAATTGGAAAAAAGCAATTTTCTAAACATGAATACTCTTTCAATTAGTATATGCAACAGCAGAAATTCACCTTATTGTGCTCAACAAAAGCTTTCATGAGAGTCTTGTAAGCCTGCAAGTGCACATAATTCTCACTAAATCCAAGCCGTTTGCAGTAATATTCAATGAAGTAAGAGGTTAGAAAATAAATATTTCACTCCCGCCATCGAAGGGTCTGATGATCTGCAGCAACAATCCCACTAAAGAATGGCTAGTTAGAGCCCTTTGCCCTGCTGGATAGAAACCATTTCGACAAGCAACTATTGTCACTAGATTCCCATTGCAAAATCTCACATATTCATGGTCACATATGCTGGAATCAATAAAACATATAATAAAAAGATCTTCTCTTGAGTTTACAGTAAATCCCTGGTTTACAGTAAAGCTGGAGCCTCCTTCTTCCTATTTTTATAGTAAATCCCGGGTTTACAAAGTCCTGTAGTTCGGCGATTTTACAGGATTTGGCAGAAGAAGCTCGCGGAAGGTAGAAACTTACCTTCACAGCGTGTGGGCTCCCATGTAGCTTGCGACAAAAATGTTCTAACTATCGTTCCGATCAGGAAGGGAATGTCGTCGACGGGGCAAAACAGACCAGCAACGAAGGTGGCAAAGAGGCGTGCGAATAGGGTTTCCGAGTGAGCGAATTCTCGTCTAGCCTCCAATCAAAGTGTCGTATCATCCGTTCCGATCGGAAAGGGATGCCGTAATAGGAGTGAAGTCGATCAACAACGAAGGAGGCGGAGAATAGAGGGAGCTGGGAGAGAAGTCTTCGGTTTCGCGAGAGGGAGTCCGAACGGCCTATTGTAATACATGGCAAACTTTCGTTCTGAGAAAATTTCTAACCCGCTCAATTTGAGCGGTTTTCAATGTCCCACGAATGGCCTATTGTAATACACAGCTAATGCTTCGAAAAATTTACTTCTATTCTGCTCAAAATCAACCAAACAACCTAATTTAATAAATGCGGGTAATTATATTACTTTACCTTCCTAATTCTGCATACCAAACAGCCCCTAAGTAAACTCATTTTTATATCATGAATCAAAGGACTGAGAGTTAGAGAGAGAAGCTCTGAGAGAAAATAAGAATTTTCTGCGGGTTCCTTCAAATTTCAAATTCGCGGCTGTTCCTTGAAAGCAATGGCGACGGAGGGTCGCCGACCACCGATCTCCGGTGGTTAAGTGGATGTTCGTCGCACTTCCATATGTATGTATCATGGTCCAACGCGGTCGTTTTTCTCTTCCCCGCCGGCTTTTGGTGACATTCCTCCAAGTTTTTTGCAAGGTTAAAAAACGAAGCTTCGTCGGGAGCGCCATAAGTGATCAATGAAGGAGGTCTAGTTTTGCCTCCTAAAAAAGCTACATAAGTTGTAGGAAAAGGCAAAGGTGTGATGGAAGAGAATTTGTCTAATGGGCATATGAAGAATAGAGATCTCCTTGGTGTCAGGGAGCTTGTAGTAGCTACTTCATCTACAAATTCTATTTCAACTGAAGATAAGTCTGCTTTCACTGGTAAACAAACTGTTTTCCAAAAGGCTGCTGAAAATCAAATTGATGCAGATGATATGATGGTTTAAGCTATGGATAAAGCAAGGATGGATTTTCCGGATATTATTGCTATTGAAGGCAATGGTACCCATGGATTAAATTCTAATGATTTTGATAAAGTACATGAATGTAATAACGGAGAATTGGGTGCGTGCAAGGAAGCCGTCAATGAGATTTCTGAAAGATCTCTTCCAAATATACAACAAAATGCATGGACCAGAAAGGAACACATTAAAGTAGCTCATCTGAGCTTGGGTGATTTCAGATCTGAAGATGGATTTTCTGTTAAACTAAATGAGGACAAGGTGTTGGAAAACTCAAGGAGGCTCCAAAATTCTATTGTTATCAAGTTTTCGGAAGTAAAATACCATTCCCAGTGGTTAGTACTGAACTCAGAAGACAATGGGCTCCTTTTGGGAAGTTCCATTTAATAATGTTAGGAATGGACTGGATCATCTGTTCATTATACGACAAAGAATCCATGGATGCTATCTTCAATAATGGGCCTTGGTTTGTTAATGGGAAGATCATTGGTATGGATAAATGGTCTCCTAAATTTGACCCGTCATCCTTAAAAGGGTTGTGTGCCCCTATATGGATTAGGCTCCCTAATCTCCCACTCCAATGTTGGGATGAAATCAACATATGTAGAATTGCATCAATGATTGGGAATCCACTCATGATTGATGGTAATCTTTTTCAATGGGGAAGGAGGGAGTTTTGTAGGGTATGTGTTTGAATCAATCTGGACATTGCCTTACCTAAAGAAGCTTGGGTGGAAAGTAGTTCGGGCAAGTTCTATTAAAAGTTTGAATATGAGAGACTCCCTGATTTCTGTTTTTGCTGCGGGAGAATTGGTCATAGTAAGAACAATTGTTTAGAAAATTCTTCTAATGACACTACTGGCTCTATAAAGGAAGGGGAATCTTCAAAGGTGATTATTGAAGGCAATTCTAATCCCAGCAATGCTACAAACTATGTAGCTAAAAATAATGAAAATAATGGCTATGGTCCTTGGCTTCAAGTTAATTATGGAAGGAAGAGAAGTTCTTTCTTCAAAAAACCAGGTTCTCTGGATAAAATACAAGTTGCTGGGAAAAAGTTGATGCTGTACAAAAGAAACCGGTCTGGAAGGAAGTTGAACCAGTGAAATTTCCAAATGAGGAGGTGCAGATTTCTCATATGGAGGAAGCCAATAAAGATTCCAGTAAGGGGTTATCTCAAATTCAGAATACAGAAACCTCTTCAGAGAACTTGGTTGTTAAAAGTTTGAATGTTCAAACCTCTTCTTTGATCTCTACTAACAAATTCAGTTTATTAAATGAGCTGGGTGACGAAAGGGAAATCTTACCAACATAATTGGTTGAAAACAAATCATGTGAAGAACTGGGAGGAGCTTCAAAATACAAAGAGGAAGAACTCATCAGCAAGAGTGAGTTTTTAAGCAGTTCCTTTTTTAACAAGGAAGGAAGTCCCTCTATTATTAAGAATAAAGGCAATAAACAACTTAAAGGACTAGGTCCTATCAACTCAACTCCTAGAAGTAGGAGGGCTGAAAAAGTTATCAAAGATAGGATGGGGACTTCATCCCCTCTTATTCAATGAATTCATCCATAGCTTTTAGGAATTATAGAGGAGCTAGGAAAAGGAGAGCTTCTCTATACATGAAGGAAATTGCCAAAGATTTTGGGGTTTTTTTCATTGGTTTGTTGGAAACCAAAATCACTTCTTTTGAAAGAAAGGAAGTGGATCTTCTTATTGACACCGAATGGAACTTCTATTGTGTTCCGTCAGAAGGCTTATCAGGAGGCATTCTTGTGTTATGGAAAGTCAATGTAGCTTCATTTCAAATATTAGAATCCTCGTCACAATTGATTGTGGGGGACTTGGAGGTTCACAACAAAGGTACAATGAGGATTGCTTCAATCTATGGTAGCAATGATGTATATAGAAGGAGATGGCTTTGGGAAAGGCTGGAATTCTTTGCAGATAAGGAACTTCCTATTGTCATAGGAGGTGATTTCAATTGCATCCTTTCAAGTGATGATAAAAGGGGAGGGAAAAGATTCCAACTTTCCCTTGAATCCAAGGAAATGAAGACCTTTCTTGCTAACAATGACTTCCATGAAGTTGGATTTGTGGGTCCAAAATTCACTTGGTGCAACAACAAGCAAGGAGCAGACCGAATCCTTGAGAGACTGGATAAAATGTTTTATAAATTCAGCTGCTATGACAGCCTCAAATCACCTCTTTGTAAGGCACTTGGCACGTGTAGCTTCAGATCACTGTCCGATCATCTTGAACCTTATGGTACATCAAGCTAGTAAGAGGATAGTAAGGTTTGAGGATGTTTGGGCTCAAAACAAAGCTTCAATGGCTGTGGTGAACAAAGGTTGGAAAAGGAATTATAGAGGAAATGCTGCCAACATTTTAAATTGTAAAATGAAAAAAATCTCTAAAGGCCCTTTACTATTGGAGCAAAGCCAAAATGCAGAATTTACTCTCTCTAAAAAAGGAACTACTAATTCAAATTGAAAACCTCCAACTGAAAGAGGCAAAATGAAGGAAATCTTTCTATAGAAGAAAGCTACATGCTAAAATCTAAAGTGGGAGAGCTCAATTCAACTCTTGCCAAGCTTGATACATGGATGGTGGAGGGTGACCGAAATTTAAAATTCTTTCAAGCCTTTGCATCATCTAGAAGAAATTCGAACTTTATTTCAGAGATTATGAATGAAGTTGGAGAAGTAGTGGAGGAACAAACTCTTATTGAAAATGTTTTTATAAAACATTTTCAGGAGAAATGGAGATATCGTAGCTACATACCAGAGAATTGGCCTTCTTCTTGGAGCTGCCTTGATGAGGATGATAGATGATCTTTAAGCAAAGCCTTCTCAATTGAAGAGATGGAAATTGTTATCAAACAAAGTGGTAATAATATCTCACCAGGTAATGATGGTATCACTTTTTCATTCTTTAAAGCTTATTGGGAGATTATCAAATTAGACTTATGGAATGCCTTAAAGGATTTCTTTGAAAAAATTCCGAAATGGATCCTAAATGGAAGGAAACGATAGTAGTTCTGATTCCAAAAATCAGTAATCCGCTAACTCCTTCTAACTATAGACCAATTAGTTTATGCAATTTGGTCTATAAATTGGTGGCTAAAATCCTCATGAATAGAATGGCTCCTTTCATCTCTAAATTGATCACAAATGAAAAAGTAGCTTTTATCAAAGGAAGATCTCTTACAGACCACGTGTTGATAGCCCAAGAAGTGATGCATAAATTAAGGAATTCCAAATCTTCAAAAGGTTTTGTTTCCTTCAAAATTGATATGCAGCAAGCCTATGATTCTATGGGTTGGTTAACCTTGGTGAACGCTTTGTATTATTTTGGTTTTCCAGATTTTTATGCTAAACTGATTTTAAATTGTATTCAAAAATCCAATTTCTCTATTTCAATAAATGGTAGTTTATCTAATCGGATAGAGGGACAATGTGGCTTTAGACAAGGTTGCCCCTTGTCTCCTTATCTCTTCATTCTTTGTGCTCAAATGCTTTCTAATGCCTTCAAACAATGAGGTGACTCATTGGGAGCTTGGATTTCTACAAATGGCCCTTCTATTTCTCACTTGTTGTATGCAGATGACGTGATCATCTTTTCGGAAGCTACCTTGAAGGCAACCAAAGAGATTAAATCAATTTTGGGTAATTTCTGCAGTTGGATGGGTCTATCCATTAACACCAATAAATCTTCTATGAAGAAGGAGAAAGAAATCCATTAGTCGAATGATGGGCTTTAAAACAGTTAATCAATTAACCTATCTTGGAGTAACACTTTCTTTGAGAAGGTTTGTTAAATAAGTCTTCCTTTTTATTGTTGAAAAAGCCTTGAAGATGACTAATATTTGGGGAAGCAAGATGATATCCTTGGCAGGAAAGATTCTTTTATCTAAAACTGTTTTGCTTTCCTTCCCCACTTTTCATTATACTAACTCTCTTATGCCAAAGAGTAACTTGATGAGGTGGACAAGATTTGTAGGAACTTCATTTGGAACAAATCTAATGGTGGATACGAATTACATTATGTTAATTGGTTAACTATGAGTTTACCAACCAAATGGGGAGATAGAGCTCTTCACTCTTGTTCTACTAAAGTTGGCCCCTTGAGATCCAAAATTGCTTGGAAATATATGAATGATAAAGACTCCTTACTACACGAATTCTTCTTCCCAAAATATGGAAACCTGCTTGATAAGGTAGATATGGAAAATTCTAGATCTACTGCTTGGAAAATCTTGAAGATGGGTGGCAAATCATTAAGGCCATTTATTAGATGGAGGGTGGCCAATGGGAATGACATTGATGTATTCAATGATATATGGATCTTAGACAAATGTATTAATAAGTGGCCAACGTTTATTACACCTCTAGATGATAGCAGATTTTTTGTTTCCAACCTCTTAGAAAATGGAAGTTGGAACGTGGATCAAATGAGAAGAATTATGGGTGAAGACCTTGCAAATCTTATTATACAAACCATTTTCCCGGGTGATCAGGAAGGAGATAAAATGGAACTCTTACTGCAGGTCAATGGAAGATCCTTATCATCTATGGTTTTTGAAAATTCGGTAAACCATACTCAATCGAATATATACTGGAGCTGGATCAAAAAAGCTAAACTTAACCCAAAGGTGGAGACATTTTGGTGGAGGATTTATAATAATGGCTTGCTTACTAATGAATTCCTTGAGCATAGAAGATTGCAAAGGATCAATCTTTGCCCGAGAAGCTGTAATGTTGCTGAAAACAGAGATCACTTGACAGCTAAATGCCAAAAGCTGTAAGCATCTTTCTGTCTTAACTCCCTTTATGATTAATCTTTATTGTACCGTGGTGTACCTGACATGGAATTCCATAAATAATCTTATACATAATGGGAAGGAAGATAGCTCATTATATATTGCTTCCAATGCAATAAGCTATGCTTCAATTTATGTCCAAGGGATTAGTAATTTCTCGGGTATATGGGATGTCAACCAACCGTCAAGGTTGTCTTATCCTCATTGGCACCCCCCTCCACCCGATTGGCTTAAAGTAAATGTGGATGCTTCACTTCTTTCTTCTTATAAAGCCGACATTGGAGGAGTGTTCGTGATCACAAAAGAAGATTCCTTCTAGCATTTGGGAAATCGTACACCCATTGGGATATTTCTTCCTTGGAACTTTTGGCTACTCAATCCATTAAGTGTTGAAAGATTGGATGTTTAAATACAAAGGAATTATCATAGAAGGTGACAATTATAATGTCATGGAATTCTTGAAGAAGGCCAAACAAAGTGGAGATACAAGGTATGAAGATGCTTATCTATTTGGTGACTTTAATAACGTCATTTTCAATTGTGTTGATAGAAGTTATAACAAATTGGCTGATTTATGTGCAAACTTTGGTATTATGAACCATTTTATTTGGGAGGACATTAGTATTAATAAGATTCCTCCTTTATTCATGTCTTTGTTAAAGGAGTAATCTAGTGTTTTTGGCTAAGTAGGATTGTAATAATTTATTTGCTCTTTTTTCTTTTTAATGCTATTTGATGCATTTTCCTAAAAAAAAAAAGTAAACTCATTTTTTCTTTTCCCTTCTCTGCTAATTGAAGATGTTCAATTTATATGAGATTTGAGAATTAACATATTTCTTTGTGTAAGAGTGTCATATTCTACTATTATAAAAGGGTTTTTGTCATTTTTCTTAAATTAAATTCAAGTCTTTCATTTATAATATAGTATTAAATCTCTACCATCTATTCATTGTTCTTCTTGATGCCTACCTTCGTTTATTTTTTCTCCCTCATTAAATAATTCAAATCTCGAAATAGTCAATCAAATAAAACTCTTTTCTTATCAATACTCCTATGTAATTTCACGTCCGCTTCATAGCTTGAAGTTACGCTTGCAACTCTTTATTTCTTTTGGAGAGTTGAAGTTCCGGTACAATCTCTTCTTCTTATATATATATATATATATATCCCATATTTATAAAAATTTCACAAAAAGATATAAGTTTTAAGAAACTATAATTAATAGTTTATATGGAAAACTCAAAAAGGGAAAAAATCATTGGAACAAATCCATTTATAATTGTAGAAACCTATGTGAATGATACAGGCAAGAAGATGGACAAGAACGAGACAGAGGAGAAGGAAACAAGAGAAATAAGATTTCATTTCATGTCAAATCCTTTGTACAGAAGTGCTTAAATAGAGTAATACAGATATGCAGATACATGTGTAGCATTGTCATAGGTTATCAAGAAATGTAATTACAGACACACAATATTTATTATTGCTGTTGTTCTAATAATAATGATGTACTACAGTCATGCAGCTCTTTTAGTTCTCAAACCTTCATGTAGAAAATAAAGTCTTACTTAAAGCTTTTTGACATGAGATTTTTGAAAAATTTGGCTTTAATTCTGGTAAATGGAACCCCCAGCTTCTAAGTACCTCCATTACCTTTAATAGCTTGAAACATTTTGTGGTAACATGGTTTACATCTTCTACTGCATCACATCCCAATGGACATAACAGAGAATCAGTTAATCCCCTTCGGTTTAAAAAAGCTTATGTAGGAATAGCATCCATATACATTCGCCAGATAAATACTTCTACCCATGCATTCAGATTCAGCTTATATATCCAAGATACCTGAGCTCCATCCTTCATATATTTGCAATCCTCCTCCACTAATAAAGCTGAGATAGTTTTCCCGGTCATCTTGAATTTAAATTCCATGCAGTCTTCATTTAAATCTTGAAAAATATGTACATTACATATTAGATTCAGCAACTCCTTACCAAAGTACAAGCTCAGTTTTGCACGGTGCCAGCTTCCCTCTTGAATGAAGAAGTCAATAGTTGTGTTATCATCATCCAAAGATCCTACAAATGTTGGCCATTTGAGTAAATTATTATCTAGAATCCAAATATCCTTCAAAACATTTATCTTGGATCCATTCACAACCTTCCACCTTACAAAATTTTTAAGAGCATTCCACCCACTAGAAATGATCTTACAAGAGGAAGAACCACCTCTAGACAAACCACTATCCCACCAATTGGATCCATATTTAGACAGAAGATTCCTGTTTAGTGAAGTATCCGGTTTCTCCAAAAGTTTCCAAGCAAACTTTGCTCTCAGTGTATCTTTTCTGGCCACTGCTGACTGAATTCCCCATCCTCCGTATTGTTTTGGTTTGCACAGTAACTCCCATGCTACATAATGAATCCCATGTCTGCCATCACTTTTGTTCCATATAAAATC